CCACTGTAACCATCAATTTATTAACACCGTACACATGGAAGACCACTGCATAAAATGAGAGCCTTTCTCTAGCACATGCAACATAACAAGTGATTTCCAACTAGCCACAACTGTTTTCTCGAAATTTCTGCATCACACACTCGCAGTCTTGCTTCTGATATTATTTGTGGCTAGCAGGCTATAACGGCCCCTTTAGCCCAGCCTCTCAATCCCACACTTGCCTAAGAGAAATTTTGCATTCCAGAATCTGTGAGCAGCTCATTCCTCCATAAGTTTTACCACTGAGAAATGTATATCACATGATGACTATGGCACTATGTGGTATTTTCCACTTCTTACCATACAGGTTTCCCCCTTCAACAGAGCTTCTATTGAACTAGGTGAGCCAATGACATCGTGGAACATAACTATGGGGGCAAATGTTTAAGGTTCTGTCATATTAAACACCTGCTGTGCTTTGGTACATGCAAATTGCAAAATTTTGAAAACCTGCAAGTATGGCAATAAAACAGAGGAGCTTAGACTTGAATACAGAATGTGCAGTAAGTCAGCATTACCTTCTGTGACAATGTTTACAATACTGAGGAACAAAGCGAAAATACAGGTTATACTAACCCTAAGCAAACTAACAAAGTTTCTTTCTTTCAAGAGTACACAGTGTATGAATGTGTGATGAACATAATGAGATAACCAAGATCTGTAACGTAATCTGTAACGTCAAAGGCATGAGAATGAGATGGTATAGATCCTATCTTGGTGTATAAAGAGCATTATTTTCATTACAAGTGTGATAAGGTAAATGTCACCTGACAGAAAAATAAACAGTTACTGGTTCATACACAATTTACGTGCCACTATAATAACGTGCGTTCACTATTATGTACGAAGGTTAATTCACAATCATCACTTATGTACATCAAGTCAGAAAGCTGCAAGTATTGTAATCATGGCAGTATTTAGAACCCATGATAACACAAACAGGTGTCAGATTTAAACTGCTTCATGTGTTATATCTATTTACTGTAGTTAACTACTCAGTATGCTTATTCACAAGCAAGAATGTGCAGCACATTATAAGTGGAATGTGGGTGGAACCCATGAGCAGTATCTGGATGATCCATGCTTGTGGGTATGCAGAAAATAGTGAACAGAACTTTTGCTAGTAAAGAACAGCTTCCTATTGCTTGTTGGTTGTAAGGTTAAATGGTTATGCAAGTTTAAGGAAATCTTTAACTGTCTGGTTCAGATAATGCTAATGATAATGAAATTATTGATTTAGTCTTCATTATTTTCATATTCCAATGACAATCACATTAAAATTGCCATAGAAACATATACTATTTAACCTTTTCTTTTATTGCTTGTGGGGTGGGACTAAGTCCCTTGTACTGCAGCCACTTCTGGCCTATTGTACCAGCCCGATGATAGGTGAAGGTGATTGTGGAGCAATTGGTGGAATGAAGATTGGCAGGGGAAACTGAAATACTCGGATAAAACCTGCCCCAGCGCCACTTTGTCCACCACAAATTCCACTTGACCAGACCCGGGCCGCCGCAGTGGGAAGCCAGCAACTAACCGCTTGAGCTATGGCATGGCCTTTATTTAAAACTTAGTGCAACCCTGCATTATATGTAATCAGAAGTGAAGGGATAGACCTGTACTTATGCATTTTAATAGTTTTTGGATATTACAAGTATCTGTTAAGGAATTTTACATATATAGTCTCATGCCATTAAGGTTCCACAATATGTTAATTTATTTCAATACACAATTAAAACGAAATTTCAAAATAATACAAGCCACAGGTGCATTTTATCAAGTTAGTTATGTATTAACGATGCATGCCATTACAACATACAGCTGCTCATTCAATACTGTAAAACTGATGTCTGGATAGTCGAGACTCAAACCTCAGTATGGAAAATGAAAACACGTTACAATATCCTTCAGCAATACATCCAATTTCCTCTCAGCTCACCACATTCTTAATTTCACACTTATCCCTTAAAGGAAAAATATATGTATACCCTTTACAAGTCACTGATCAAGGTACAGAGTGCAATATCTAAAAATTTGTGTCAAACTTTTAAAATTCAAAGAGTTGCAGTTTTCCTGAAGTGGGTGGAACAGAATAATTTTATCTCACTTCCAAGGAAACAGGATATGGAATTTTAATATTAAAAGTTACAAGCTCCTATTCTTTACAGAACTTTCCCGAATGATGAGTATTTTTATAATTTTTTCCCCAGTGCACTACCCTGAAATATGAACTGCATTATTCTAATATTGATACTGAAATTTTATGATATGTCTGCAATTATCATCTGTAATATGTCCTTGTAATTCTTCTACAGTAGGCTACTTAAAAAAAAATGTAATCAGTTTCAATGTATTCAATGCTAACCTCCTCTATCTTTTAGGCCCTTACTGCAGTATTCAAGTTCTCTTTTTTCCACAAAATTTGTGATATTAGAATCGCATGATACAAAAGTATCATCAATATTCTACTCTGTGTATGACGAGTTTATTAGTTTTCTTAGTATGACAATATGCTACATGTTTCAGATTATAAAGCTATCATCAGGCAGTATACATTAACAAACATTTTCAAACGACTGAACAGCGCTTTATATGAATTCATATATTACAATATAACTATTACTTATGTATCTGACTTTATAGTTAACACATTCAACTTTCATATGAATTAATACGAGTCTTATAAATATATTTACAATAACAATTTTAATTTATAAAATATAATGCATTGTTATGATGTACTAAAACATTAAATGAATTAAAATTGTTGTTCGTTATATTTATGGTATCTGTCGTGTCTAAATATCGTTTCATATATATATAAAATGATATTTAGACACTACAAATGTGTACTATTTATGCTGGTGTCTACTAGTGCAATTACAGTGTTATAATATGTAATTATTTACAGGTGTTATTTTGATTGTGGTCGGGTGTTATATTTCTACTCCTATTTGATTTCCTTATGGAGCAGCTGCACTGTTCGGAACCAGTTATTGCAATGTTCTAAAACGTTTTATCCTGTTTTCCATGATCTGGTTTTTTTATTTGTGTGGGATTTTTTTTTTTCAATTCTCGTGTTTCTGTCTCTGACTTCATTGAGTGTTAGATTTCAACTCATAGACAAACCTGTCTGCACAATGGCAGTTGGACCAGAAAGGCTTCGAGGAGTTGGTGCTGCTATTGTAGGTGGTGCTGCTGTTGCTGTGGTAGTAGCGTTAGCAGTGCAAGTAGAAGGCGTTGCTGTGCTAGTGGTAGGCTGTGTGCGAGCCTTCAATACTGCTGCATGCAATGCAGGACCCAAATAACCAAATTCACTTCGGTATTCCTCCACATAATCTGGTGGCTGCCGAAGTGTTTTAAGTAGTGGAGACAACACTTTCTGTGAATTAATAATAACGGTTATACGTACTGGAAAGAATTAAAAAACTCCTTACTCATATCCTTTCATCTCATTCTGTCTCTCAGATTATCATTATCATCACCACCACCACCATCCTCCTTCCAATTTAGGCCAAGTATGAGTATTACAGATCTACAAAACTGGGCTCTCATGATTTGTGGGGTCTACTTAACCACCATCTCAAGCTGACACTTATGCCAGGGCTTTTCAGACTCATATGCAGAACAGGCAAATCTAAGTATGGAAATTTGATGAGAACACTTTAAAATAAAATATTACAATTTAAAACTAACTAAGTATGAATGTGTCTAACTATGAAATTCCATAAAATTTTTAACCCATTCTTTCTAAGAATGTTACAATCACATAAAGATAAAAATAATACTTACAACAAGGAGATGTTTTATGTGGCCCGCAGCAATCTTATCAATATTGCTCAATACAGGGCCCTCTATTGCAGCCTCTATACGGTCTATCACTTGTTTCACCCTGGGCAATATAAATACTTTGACAACCTCTGTACCCAATTCAGACAATCCTGAAAACATTAAATAATAAACGTTTATTGGGTTTCGTGGAACTTCCAAGGAATTTCAGTTGATTGCAAATTATAAAGGATTTATTTCCTTTTTCAGGTAAAGTACTTACATTGTCTCTGATGTATAACTGAGTCTGGTCTACATTTGTATAGTACAGCAACAAATTTATAATTTGAATAGGTTTGTAAATGATGTTTTATCTACAGTTTCCACAGTAAGTTCCAAAAAGTGTAGTAATTACAGAATTCAAGGACTGTGTAAATTCAATAACTGAGAGAAGTAGTTCTTTCACCTGTTCAAAATGTTGTGGGAATCTGGAAGCACATCACCATTCTCATCCTTCACTAAATTACTTCAAGGGGGGTGACTCCTCTTAAATTCATTTATTCCTGCACACAGGTCTCTATTGTTCTTATTGTTCGTTGCAAGCTCATCAATTTTGCCTTCAGATATTCCTTCCTTTTATTCCTGAAAGGCCTGCTGGTTTCATGTCTTCTACTGTTCAGATTACTTACTTACTCATGGAGCTGAGCCCTTCTTGAGGAGCTGCCAATTCTGCAGCTTCTCAAGAATTTCCCAGCATTTTATGGAACCTGAAGGTTCATTACCGTGTTCACAAGAGCCCTCCACCGGTCCCTATCCCGAGGCAGATCTATCCAGTTCATACCATCCCATCCTTTCTCTCTAAGATCCATTCTAATATTGTCCACCCACCTACGCCTTGGTCTTCCCTGTGGTCTCTTTTCTTCTGGCTTTCTGGAAAGCCTACGATTCAGTTAGGAGGGAAGTATTGCACAATATTCTAATAGAGTTTGGGATACCCATGAAACTAATTAGGTTGATTAAAATGTGTTCAAATGAAACGTATGGTAAAGTCCGTGTAGGTACACATTTCTTTGATAAATTTCCTATCCAGAATGGTCTAAAACAAGGAGATGCTTTATTGCCACTCCTTTTCAACTTTGCTTTAGAATATGCAATTAGGAAGGTCCAGGGAAACCAGGTGGGACTGAAATTAAACAGGACACATCAGCTGTTGTTCTACGGCGATGATGTGGATCTACTGGGTGAAAATGTAGATACAACAAAGAAAAACACACAAACTTTAATTGACACAAGTAAAGATATAACAGACGAGAAGACAAAAGGTTCTGGACTGAATGGTAGCAAGCATTACCCAAGTTCAATCGCCTCTTAATTTCCTCCTAAATCAGGTTTCGATCTGTTATCATTGTTCTCAAATATCTGAACTGTGCCACATTTTCAAAACATCTGTTTCCTATCTTTATGTCATGATTTTGCCCTGAATTTTGGTGATGAGACAGTAATATATACTTAGTTTTCTCTGTGTTTACTTCTAGACCAACCTCTTTACTTGTGTCAATTAAAGTTTGTGTGTTTTTCCTTATGGTATCTACATTATCACCCAGTAGATTCACATCATCAGCGTAGACTAACAGCTGATGTGTCCCATTTAATTTCAGTCCCACCTGGTTTCCATGGACCTTCCTAATTGCATATTCTAAAGCAAAGTTGAAAAGGAGTGGCAATAAAGCATCTCCTTGTTTTAGACCATTCTGGATAGGAAATTTATCAGACAAATGTGTACCTATACGGACTTTATTATATGTTTCATTTAAACACATTTTAATCAACCTAATTAGTTTCATGGGTATCCCAAACTCTATTAGAATATTGTGCAATACTTCCCTCCTAACTGAATCGTAGGCTTTCTTGAAGTCTACGAATAGCTGATGTACTGTCTCATCGTACTCCCTTTTTTTCTCCAATATCTGATGAATGCAAAAGATCTGATCTGTTGTTGATCTGTTACGTCGAAACCCACACTGATGATCCCCAATAATTTCATCCATATATATGGACTTAACGTTGAAAGAATAATATTGGACAAAATTTGATATGAAGTTGATAGCAGTGATATCCCCTGATAATTACTACAGTCAGTTTTATCACCCTTCTTGTGAACTGGTACAATAATAGATTCCTTCCACTGATAAGGCAATTCTTCCTTATGCCAAATAGAATTGATGAGTTGTGGATCTCAGACCGTAATATTTCACGGCTTGTTGAATAAGTTCTGCCGGAATTTGATCACTACCTGGCGATTTATATCGTTTCAATTTTGAAATAGCACGTTCAACCTCAAAAGGGCTAGGATTAGGTATTAATGGCTCAGCTGTATGGATTTCTATCTGCCTAACAGCACTGACCCTATGTACATTCAATAACTGAGAGAAGTAGTTCCTCCACCTATTCAAAATGTTGTGGAAATCTGCAAGCAGATCACCATTCTGATCCTTCACTAAGTTACTGCTAGGCTGGTAACCCCTCTTAAAGTCATTTATTCCTCTGTACAGGTCTCTTAATGTTCTTGTTCTTACTGTTCATTGCAAGCTCATCAATTTTGTCTTTCAGATATTCCCTCTTTTTGTTCCTGAAATGCCTGCTGGTTTCACGTCTTATATTGTTCAGATTATCCCCATTTATCTAGCTTGGATCCTGTAACCATTGCAATTTGGCCTGCTTTCTTTGATCTAATAATTTTGAGCATCCTTCATCAAACCATGGCTTATGCTTCTTAAGTTCATAATAACCTAGACTCTCTTTGGCAGACATTTTTATATTCTCTATTAGTTTCCCAAGCTTTATTAACATCCACCTCAATTCCCAAGTTTTCCAAAGCCGTGAACCTATTTTAGATTTCAACACAATACTGTTCTTTACCCTCTACCTCATTTAATTTTGTGAGAATTGACCTCTCCATATGAACTCTGTTTGTTTACTCACTGCCAGTCTCTCCCTAACTTTTGCCACCACCAGGTAGTGGTTAGTATGACAGTCTGCTGTCCTGAATAATCAGACATCAAGTATACTTGAATGCCATCTCCTATCTATCAAAATATGGTCAATTTTGTTGTGCATCTTCCCATCAGAAGACGTCCAAGTAAATTTATGAACGTTATGATGTGAGAATATCGTAGTTTTGACAATAAGATTTTTTGGATGTGCAAAGTTTACTACTCTAACTCTAACTCTCTTATTCCCAACTGTTGGCCACTGAAATCTCCTAACAAAATTTTCATTATATTTAGGGAATTTATTGAATACATGTTCTGTTCTTCATAGAATCTGTCCTTCATATTACCAATTTTATCTTCTGTTGGGGCATGAACAGTAAGAATGATATCACACCAGTGGCCTCTTAGTATTATGTATGACATCCTATCGGTAACAAACTCTACTTTCTTAACTGCTGATATAAGTTTCTTATGCATGAAAAAACCAGTACCTAATTCATGATTCTCATTCCCTTTCCATAGAACAATGTATATTCACCTACTGGTTCAGTGCCACCTCCATCCCATCTGACCTCCTGTACTCCCACAAAATCTACCTTATTTTGAGATTTCTTCTGCCACTACCCTGAGTGAACCTGCCCTATACATATATCTAACATTCCAAGTACCAAATATCACATCCATTTTCTTTCACTTAGGTTGTTTATCCAAGGAATTCATCCAGGTCTGAGGCTTGTTGTGGGCTTTCATAAGAAGCTTAATTTTACAAGGAGGAGTTGTTAGACCCATGCTCAACCCAAAAGCTGGAGGACCGCCCCTTGTCGGCTGCCCAAGACTGCTTATTCAGCATATTCGCTGATACCCTCCATATCTGGAGGCCATCTCCTCCATCCACAACTCGAGGATGTGCCATGCTATGGTGACAAGGGACCCACCTAACATAGTCATTTCATTATGCATTCTCTAAATAAATGCATGGCACAAAATCGCAACTTTCTACAAGAAGGGGTGACAGTAAGTGCTGCCAAACATGACAAATATTTCACATTCCCATTATGTGTGTCACTTCCTTATGACAGTTCAGCTCTGAAATATTCTGATCTAACCCTGCATGTGAGACATATGAGAAAGGGTGCTTCTATGTAGCAGGTAAACAACCTATATCCCAGAGCCATAAATGTTTTAAATAATGCATATGCAATTGGGTACACTGTTCAGTAAGAATGTGATATAGCACTGCATACCAGTAACTGTTAAATTACCTCACCTTCTATGGCGCCATAAAGTGAAGCCAACTGCATCTTCTCATCCCGCAGGGCTTGACTAAACATGCGAGTTACCCTTGTCTGAACATTATTTGTGGATGTGTTAAAATTCTTGCAGATCTGTGCCATGAGACGTGATGCAAAATCACGCAATGCCCAGTGATTATCCAATTCAGGCCTCATGCACAACTGTTTGCTTACGATGCAGGTTGCCACTGATGGGATTAACTCATGTAACTGTAATGACAATTAAAGGGTTTCATACAAAGAAACACATATTTTGTCATTAATTATCTCAGAAAATCTACGATTTCATGCATGCAGTAGATGTGCACTGAAATTTGTATACAATGGAATTCAGGGTGCTCATTTGACTTCTTGCAATGGAGCACTGAGTCTGAAACAAGGAGCAAAATGGCATCAATTCCAGGCAACACTGAGAAATATCTGTATTTTCAAAGAACCTAGTCTTTATATTTCATTATTCTGCCAAGAGAAGGCATGATAATATCCATCTTTTACCTTTCAAGAGACTGTCTTGTGGATCCCACATTATGTTCTGAGAAGTAAATGCAAATAAACACTGACCTTAACATACAGCCATAAAAAGACATTACTGTAAATGTAAGCAGAAGTCAAAAGCAGAGCAACAAGCTATGTAGATACCAATATATCAGATTAACATAATTACATAAGTTTGATTTGTTTCATTCTGGTCCATCACACTAACAATATCATGAAAAGTTAAAGTTCCATCTAGTGTGACTGGTGAACATTTTTCTTATTTCAATTATTTATGAACTTACATGTTTCGGTCTTCAGAGACCATCATCAGAGGGATACCTTTACATCAATACTGTTGGAGGCTACTATTACAATATATTTTCTGTAGCTTCCAACTGTACTGTTGTAAAGGTGTCCCTCTGATGATGGTCTCTGAAAACCAAAACATGTAAGGGCATAAATAATTGAAATAATAAAAATCTTCACCAGTCACACTAGACAGAACTGTTTAACTTTTCATGTTACATAAGTCCTTTGTGCTTTTCAGAACGCACATTAATATCAGAGACAACCAAAGTATAAATTGTTATTTTTGGTTACACTTGCATTGATTCCTTTTCTTACAAACAGGTGAGTAATGTAAATTGATGAAGAATATATTTTAACTGCATTTCATTATATGATACATAGTAATCTTAAGTCATGAAGTGAATCAAATTGCATTACCCATTGATGTGGTAGGTACAGCACTTCATCAGAAATGGATGGGTGAGAAACAAAAGTGATTTATCAGAGTGTTTAATAAAAAAAAAAAAAAAGCAAGATAAGTTATATTTGCTGAATACATTCTTAATCATAGCTTTGGAAATGAAAGAAAAAGGGGGGAAAAAAGGATGGCATTATGGTTGAAAAAATTATAATACAGGAATTTCAGTACATTCTTTTGCCATATAGGAAAGTTTAATTCTGAAAACAGACTAACATGTAACTGATTGTGGATCACATGAAAACAACTAATACCAAGATAGAAGTGCAGTCAATGTTTTCTGCTTGCGTTATGTATTCTATCACAGATCATAGCCCAAGTTAGAGGGTAGACTCTGACAGCAATGGTTCCTTCAGGCTCTATTTCTCAAGAGTTTACAGCAAAAGCTGGCCAGGTGCCTTCTTTTCCTCACAACAAATTTTCTTGTAGCATGCAAAGACACTGAGAATGCCCACACAACACCCACAAAGGGGCTTTCCTCATAAAGATGAAAGGGGTGCAGAGGTTATGCTGTACCACTGCAAGTAGTCCACAAGAATGAGAGCTAGTTGATGTGTATGAACTTGGATTTGTATGCTCAAACAAATGAAATATTAAGATAACAGCTTGATTACATATTTAAACAATCCATACAAGTCCTAATTATGACATTTTCTGAGTAAATTTTAAGCCAAGTATTAGAATTCACATTGGCTTATAAATAACAGAAATCACCTAAAACAGAACCTACTTTCTCATGACAATATACCATGTCGCTGTCCAATGATAATGCATTATTATAATCACTTTACTACTTTAGTTTTTTGAAAAACTATGCTGTGGTAATATATTGTGGTGGCAGGGCGTTGCCTGACTTACCTTCTTCATCCATTCATGCATTTCACACAACCCAAAGCTTCGCCACATTATTATACAGGGTGGCGTAAGATTCAGTTAAGTGGTTAGTAAAATGAACAACTCACAATGATGTGATATTGTTCCACAAATTGAGTGGCAAGTTTAAGTCTGAAAACTCCCATTAATACAATAGAATGTTTTATTATTGTATATTATTGTATATTGTATATAATAATGTATTATTATCAATCCCCAAAAATATTACTGTATTCAAACAAAAATAATAAACATACAGATGGTAATGTGCTAACCAAATTTGTATTAGACTCTAAAGGGTTCTGCTGAAGGTGTACAATACTCAGAATTACAAGGGTTTTGGACTTTACCCATTGTCCGGCATAAAGAAGGTTGTGTTATCTTATTTCAACAAAGCCTGGTCTCAGGTATGGGTTTTCCAGTGATCAAGGTTAGATCTTTCTAAGGGAACCAACAGAATTGGTGTATCCCCTTCAGCTGAAGACAAAAATAGATCCCCTTTCCAAAACGTTGTGTCATCTAGTTTTTTTAAAATACTGGACAATGGACAAAGACCAAAAATCAAGTAGTTCCAAAATTTTATACTCTCAATCACAGAAATCTGACAGACAAAATCCTGTGTTCCTGAAGCTGCATGCATGGGCAGATGTGAGAATACTTGCATATTTTTCCAGGTAGAGTGACTGGTTGTCAAGGAGAGCTTTCACCATCCTCATGAGGTAGATGAGAAGTGCCAGGTTATTCTGTACTACGTTCACTTTCACACCCTCCGCTATGAAAGTGCACATACGGGGCAACATCTCGTGGAGACCGGGGTCTGACGCTAGGCTTTGGAGAGCTTCCTAGAAATGCCATAACTACAGTCAGCATTTACAACTCTGCTTATATGTTTGTGAGGCCATGGCTTATTTAAGATTTCATCACCTGGGCCAGTTCGTTATGGAACCAAGTAACTTTTATGATGCCCCCATAAATAATGTCCTACATTTCATTCAAAATGCAAGATTAATAAAGGGTTAATCTAAAGGGGAAGCACAACAGATCACTGAAGGTCGCAGTGCAAGGGCCGGATTTTTATGATTTGTAGTTTAGTTAATGAAGTGTATTTTGTAATGAGTAATCAGCATGTTTCTTGTACATAATATCTGTGCTGCTATTTACTTTATTTTGTCAAATAAACAAGAGCTGGTACAGCCAATAATCATTTTAAGTTTCAGTCTCCCATAACCCCCATTACAGGCTTTTCTTCATTTAAGGTAAATACACTTGTTCTCCAATGAGTTTTAAAATGTTTTACTATATTACTAAGCTGCATAAATAAGATAAATATTTTCGTTACACACTAAATACATGTAAAATTCAATCCTAGAATCACTACCCATTTTGGTATGGAGACTCCTGCAAAAACATGTCTCAAAACAAGCTATCTAACACAGCCATCCCAAAACTGATGTCAGAAAACCAAGTAGTAGAGGACATGAATGAATGTTTCATACATGTAGTTCTGGAACAATACGATTTAATGCCATTTAATAACGCACAGTAATATAAAAGGCCAAGAACTCACCGCTCTGCGAGCTTCATCTGATCCAACACATGCCTCAGTGATTTCTTTGTAGTAGAGCTGTTGTTCCACAGAGAGTTCATGAGTAGCCAGCTGCTTCACATGCACTGTCTCCACATTGCGAAGCTTGTGCATTTTCCTGGGGGAGCAACATATCTTGGAGATTACAATGATCAAACTTTATGCCAATTACATAACGTTCTGACAGTCTTTCAGGATTATGAATTTCAGGACTTTGTCTATCCTCTAGTATTCTGACAGAGCACAACATTTTGAAAACTGTATCTGTTTCCATCCTCAGGTGAAAAAGTGGAGAGGCACTCACTCCACCAAGTCCATTAAGAAGACATAATCTCAGTCACTGGATAACGAAAATCAGCGGAAGACATCTATATGTGAACCTAGGAGCAGGCACTATCAATTGGATATAATAAGAAAATTTGCAATATAAACTGCAGAAATACTGATGAAGACCTAAAACCAAGACAAAGAATGATATGGAAAATAAATCCATCACATAATAACAATAACCAAACAGAGAAATACTGATGAATTCACAATTTTTTCTGAACATGTTTTTATTATCTCCCATTGACAAAATCTGATTCTACGTGCATACAAAGATGCAGAAAACTGACTTCGGATTAGATGATTCTGATGGGCCCAGCTGAGTAAATGCTTACCCACCTGCCCATTTCTGAAACGATATGTTCTTTCAGAGTAACGGACGATGGCCAGAAACTCAGCAATCCCAAACCAAAGTTTACACTCAGCCATCCGCCACTTAACCAATCATAATTACATGCATACAAACATATAAAAATACACTGCAAAACATTCACATTTTTCTGTGTCTCAGAAAGAATTTCCATGTGGGACCATTCAAGAATGGATGAACAGAAAACACCAGGAAAAAAACACATAAAGGCTTTCCATAAGGAAGCATCTGCCGTAAGAACTAAGGAAATAATTGTTGAAGGTGAACAGAAACCAGCTGAGGTAACAGGACTATTAACCCTTACACTGCAGCAGTCAACATGTCAATCTCTGAAAAACATGGCATCCCTGTTGCGATTGACAAAACCCATATTGCGATTTTAGAGTTTCAAATCTCAGGTTTCTTAGTACAAATCTCATTCAAACTTGGCGGGTGCACAGAGTCATCTATTGGGAACGTAATGAAGCATCATTCATTAAAATGGCGGCATTCTTCTGTCCTCTAGCTTAAGAAATGTAAAAGGTTGCATCTGCACAGCGAGGCACGTGCTCCTTGGTCATGCGACACAGGTATTTCACATGGCTAGTAAAAATGGCTTCATATAGTGCATGGTGTCACATGAAGGGACTAACAAATAATCCTAGTTGTGAAATATGTAGTGACAAGAAACAACCATGCATGTTCTGCGTGACTATTCTACACAGCAACCTAACAAAACACTACGCTTCATTCGAAGTGCAAGACTGTTACAGAGCTAAATCTTAGGAGTTGGCACAACAAGTTAAGACAGTTGGAGTAAAAGGGTGATTATATGTCCAACCGTTATAATCTATCGAAATAGCACACCTCCAACTGTAGTAATGGTATCCTAGTTGACAGCTGTACCACACAGCCTCAGCATTCTGTGGGTGTTAGTTATATTTTGAACTGGCTCAGGCTAAAATTATATGCATGACAGTTATGAAGTGGAACACTGTGCATTCATATTTTAAGAGCAACAAAAAAGTAAGCATATCCAGACATGTGTTTATTTCAGGAAACAACCAGCGCAAAAACTTTCAGAACCATTGATCTGACACATGTCCACTCATTGAAAATTCTGTAAGCATGACTGCAGTATGGAGGTACTAACAAAGACTGACAACTCCCCTGATGGACTGATCTTAGTTATCCATATAAAAAGTGGCCAGCCGGTAGTAATACGAGGGTACAAAGGTAAGGAGAAAGAGGGCAAGATGTCCTTTGAAGTCTACAGAATGAAAGGAGATAGAACTGCCATAATACTGGGTGCAACTAAGACACAGTATCAGTACATACATAGTCACAGTTATTTTAATTGCTTTTATGGGAATATTTATTGCCTTAGTACACACTATTTTCGCTTAGTGCGGGGTGGAGTCCAACTAGGTCCAACTCAGCATGGCGGTCACTGATTGGCCTATTATAGCCTGCCCCAGTTGCTTACGATGATGGAGAATTTGGTGAAATGAAGACTGGTAGGAGAAACCAAAAGTACTCGGAGAAAACCCACCCCAGCGCCACTTTGTCCACCACAAATCCCACTTGACCAGAACCTGGGCCGCCGTGGTGGGAAGCCAGCGACTAACTGCTTGAGCTATGGCACAGCCCTAGTACACACTACTGTTTTTGTTAAACATGTTAAAACATAATGTGAAAATTCTGAATGTTTGCAGTGTTTGTAACTGTTGATTTACGTATAATATTTCATACAAAGATTTACAAGGTTGGAATGGCCTCTAATATCATAATGCTCATACCAAATTTCACAAAAAGTAGTTGAAAAGGTGACACACATAAAGAGCATGGTGTTCTCATAAAGCTTTTTCTTTCCTGAAGGCACATAGGCCAAAAGGTGTGACAGTCTTACAGTGCTTCACTCAACTTGTGTTACATCTGAACTTCACAACTTTACATGCTCTTTCACAAAATGTGTGGTAGTGACATTTATTTATATTTCACATTCATTGCTACAAGAAACTGACATATTCATTCCAATCTGGCAGGAAAGGTTGATAATTTAAGCTAGGATGACAGTAAATTTGAAATTTAAGCTGCCAGTTGTGTGTGTCCCACAGCTCCAGTCTCTTGCACCAAACCACATCACGAAGATGGCGGAGGACTTCTTGGTAGTACTCCTTATTGACAGTCTGGCCTAGTGGTGCGTACTCATGATGCACAACACCTTGGTAATCGAAAAAAACAGTCAGTATCACCTTCACATTGCTCCGAACCTGTTGTGCTCTTTTGGGCCTCGGGGATGTTGGATGCTTCCATTGTGACACCTGGACCTTGTTTTCTGGGTCATATCCGTACACCCACAACTCGTCACCAGTGATCACAGACTTCAAGAACTCAGAATCCCTGTTGGTGCACTCCAGCATGTCCTGCGCGACCTCAAGGCGGAGTTGCTGCTGCTCCGGCGAAAGCAGCTTGGGCACAAATTTTTCCACCACTCTTCACATGCCCAAATCCTCAGCTAAAATTGTGTTTGCGGAAATTCTGCTGATCCCAACCTCATCAGCAACTTCACGGATGGCCAAACGACGGTCCTCCATGATCAGTGTCTGCACTTTTTCAATGACATCAGCACTGACAGTCTCCCGGAACGCTGCTCACTGTCCGCCAACGTACAGCCACGTTTAAAGCGGTTGAACCACTCTTTTAATTTGAGTAACCCCCATTGCATCATCACTGAAAGCCTGCTGAATTTTGTGAATTGGGTATCCCCAAGTTTCTGACAAAACTTGATGCAGTATTGCTGCTCCAAGTGTTCCGTCATCTTGAGCGAAACGAGAATGCGACAAACACGTGTTACACCACTTTGCTATCTGGCAGCCACAGACGCATCCAGCAGTGCTGCGAGTCAGCAAAAAATCACGCATGCACATGAAAGTCCCTTCTACCACTACGCTCAGTTCCCCCCCCCCCTTGGCCATTACTTACAGCGGCAAAAAATAAAGTCGGATACTTTTTGGACATACGGTACTTTTGGAATGAAATAACTACACTCAGAATTCCTGGGTATTTAGATTATAACATGAAAATGAAAAGAAAATTAGACAAACCATGGGAAAATACATACCTTACGTCCATCACCGCGACAACCACTACAATCGGAACGGACACTTCACGACACTCAATAGGTGGAAATTGTGGAGTTGCTGCAGCGACAAATCATAGCAACGAATTGTTGTTGAGTAACAATGGATGAGACGAAACACGTTACCGGTGTAATCTATAAGCAACATTCCCGTAACAACAGACTGCCTGAACAGCGGTAACAGAACCGTGAGAAATGGTGTCCAGCATCCAGTCCGCATAACCCTACATAAGTAGAGCTTATGACACGTACAGAGTACTGAGTATTGAGAACGAGACAATCTTCAGATAGCCATCGCCAGAGACAGTTGAGATCCAACCACGGCCAAGGATAGTTGAGACGTTGCATTGGGGTATTGAAGTATTAGGCCAGAAGTCAAGCGATAATAATTGTAAGGTGTGTAAGCGTGAGAGCCCAATAAAGATTCGCCGAATCCGAGACCCACATGAAGTTATTTGTCGCGTGACATACCCAACACGTGACAATATTTTAAAACATAAAATTCAGGGACTGACTGCAATAAACACGTGATAATAACCCTGCACAGGAGGCACACAGTAGTGTAGTTGGTTGAGGTGCTATGCTACAAGCTGGAAGGTCACAGGTTCAAGTCCAGATAAGGTGGATTTTTTTTCAATTTACCTAATCCTTCCAGCCACACTATGGCCCTGGGGTCCACTTACCCTCTAACAGAAATGAGTGTCAGGAATCTTCTTGCGGGGTAAAAGGCAGCCAGCACATGAGGCTGACAACCTTAACACCATCTGTGAACCGACCATATAGAAAATGTGGGAGCCTCAACATCTCACAACACTGTGAGCCTCCACAGCCTGTTACAAGAATAGTTTTACCTTTAATAACACTACACAAGCAAGGCCTTCATTCTCTCTGGCATTTATATATATATATATATATATATATCATTCATTCATTCATCAGTAATCTATCAAGACGACAGGTCCACAGTCTCTTCCAAAACAGTTCCTCCACTTGATGCAATCTACAGCTTTCTCCTTCAAATGAAAATATCCTCTTCTGTCCCCATTATCTTCATGAACATGATACCCTCTTGGTATCTCCTTTCTTGTACTGTACTTAAATACTGTATTAATGAATAGACCACTAAGTAAGTAAGTAAAGGCATCCCTGTAACAGGCCGTGGAGGCCCATAGGGTTGTGAGATGTTGAGGTTCCCACATTTTCTAGACAATTGGCTCATAGATGGCGGTAAGGCTGTCAGCCTTATGCGTCAGATGCCCTTTACCCCCAAGAATATTCCAAGAATATTTGTGGTAATCGTTTCTGTTAGAGGCTGAGTTGACCCCAGGGCCATAGTGTGGCTGGAAGGATTAAGTCAATTGAAAAAATCCAATGACCTCATCGGGACTTGAACCTGTGATCTTACGGCTTGTAGCATAGTGCCTCAACCATCTATGCTACCGCGTGCCCCCGAATAGACCATTACATAGCATTATTATTGTTGTTGTTATAAGCAACTCACCCTGTTGTAGGTTTACCAGCTGCCTCCCCTTTCTCCTTGGCTGTTTTATTCAACTTGGTCACAGGATCAATGCTCTCCACTTTCTGTTGCTCTTTAGACACAGGTGGAGGATTTTCTGGTATGGTTGGTTGTACACCATCAATACATAACCAGTGTGCTGCAAGATATCCAACATTAGATCTACCTGTCAATCCACCTTTTATGTGAACAGAAAAACCAGTTGTGTATGAGGTCTGACTGATGAGTATCACAACTGAATTTATATCTGAGGTAAGCCACAGTTCACAGTGATGCAGCTGCAATGAATCTGTTGTGACATGGTTAAAGTAACGCTCACAGCTCATTTTATTTTTTCAGTCATTTATGGCCATGAATTAATGTCAAGGTGCTACATTATATACTGATTTCACAATTCTGAAAAGGATAGAGGAACACATGTGAATTCAATTTTGTGAGAAAATCAGAAAAATAACCAAAACTTAGCACTTCATATAAACATTATTTGGAGATGTAACAAAGAGCTAAACATGTGTTTCTGAGTTGTTCCATAATTTTAGGGACAAACATACATCAAAACTGACAAGTATCCTACACGTACTAATTGGTAGAAACCACTTTATTCCCACAGAAAGTACCCATTTGACAGGAGACTAGGTGGGCCCCAGATCTGGTTTGGATGACATGAAGAGAAAATTCTTACCCTTACCAGGACTTAAACTCTGGCCCCTCTGTAGTCCGGGCCATAGCCAGTCCCTATACCCACTGTGCTATTCCAGCTCAAAAATCACATAAACAATTTACAATATAAAGCAATTCTCTGTCAAATGTGGACATTTAAACATTTCAACCATATCAGTATATGACGATGAGACACTGCAGTCTCTCAATCACATCTGTTTTCAGTTTACTTTCTAAAGAGATGCAACATGAAATTATTAATTGAATGGGTTGGTACAGTGAAAATGCTTCACACTCATATCTGGAAGGTGCTCAGTTTGAATCTCTGCCATTACAAAATCTATCTTGACTCAGCTTTTTTGGGTTTTCTCAGTTCCTCCTGGCAAATGACAGGAGGGTACCTTGAACTGGCCAAAACTGCTTCCTTACAAAACCTATTTCAACACCACCATTCAACACTTAACAGTGCCACAAAATAACACTCCAACAAAAATTGCTGTACATACCTCTTAATGAGACATCTAGTGGCATTTTTGGTAATGGATTATTGATCAACTCATTCAAGTCCATTTCTTTCTCTTCAATGAAGTGCAGTTCTCGACCACCACCAGAAGCAAATCGGAAAGGAATGTTATCTTGTGTACAGAATCCATACAGTGGCTTGCAAAAGAGATCATTGAGACATTTACCAGACAGCATATATTTCACATTGTAATTCTACGCAGATGAATATCATAAATTTAACAATAATTTATGGCCGTGGTAACCGATGTGTGTGCACTGATGTCTCTTCGAAGATGATCAATGACCCCACACTGGCAGCATATGGGTCACCCATTCCTGCTGCCCTTAGTCCCTTGCGACAGTGGTCTTTTGGGCTATCTAACCCTATCCATACACCCTGCTGTCTCTATGCCCCACTTGGGCTCTGACTTCCACTAGTTTTGTTTTCAGCACAAGCCTCCCAGCTTCTACCAGCATCATCACTCTTTGCATATTACTGCTCAGCTCCTCATAGAGACTCTGGGTCCACTGATTGACAGACACAAAGATGCACTCCATCCACTTGCTGATGGTTTCTCTGAATCTGGCCTTAGCAGACCACATCAAATTTATCATGGCTATTGTATCCTCCTGGTCAGCCCCTAAGGCAGCTCACACCTCCTCCTGGGCAGTCATTACTTTCTCTTGGCTGGCCTGCACTTCTTCACTGCAGGTAACAGAAGTTCCAGGTCCGCCACGATTAGCTGGCATCAGTTCCAGCCCACAATCCAGCACTTCTAATGCCAGATGCTATGTGTGAGTGACTAGACAAAGAGTTCAGATCGATAACTAAATTTATTGGATTCTTATTTCTCTTAACTACAGAGAATTACAACACTTTCACTATTCTACACAATCTACATATAATTATGTACAACACATTTCAAGTGTTTCAAGTCTGCTGTATCTTCAAGTACTCACTGCTTAGTTATGGCTTCTAACAATTGGGACTCTCTCCAATAGTCCCATGCCTGATGGCTCCCACTCTGGTTTCAGGTAAATTGCTGCTGGCCTTGGCCAGCACAGTTTTTCTTGGTTCTGGGCCTCACATGACAAATGACTGAACTTTTCTGTCTTCTGACTCTGAGTAATTAAATTTTACCTTCTGTTTCAGTCAGTCAGGCAAATTGCTCCTGACCCATGCCAGCAGCATCATTCTTGGTTCTGGGCCCTGCAGGGCCAAAAGACCATACTCTTTTGCCCCAGAACTCTGCTACTCATGCAACTCTTCCTCCTCCTATGGTCAGCACAATGAGTAAACTTCTGCTGGCCAACATAGTCACTCTTGGTTTTGGGTTCTGCAAAGCTCATTACTATAATTATCTGTCTCATGAGTCTGGGAGTTGAGCAGTAAGATGTTAAAGGTATCACCCATGCACCTGAAGTAAGTAGCTCAACTTTAAGACAGCTGTGTCCAGGGCCCAAGTCTCTTAAGTGCTCTGTGTAGTAACACACATGACCCCACAGCTACTGCAGCCTTCCTTCTGATCATAGAACTGGTCACTGGACAGAAAGCATACTGACATATTATTATTATTATTATTATTACTACTGTCCCTCTGCTAGATGTGCAGCAGCTGCTAATCTTGTTTGCAGGGATGTTGACGTATTCGGAGCCAGGAATGTTCTCCCCAAATGATTATTAAATATAGTATAATTGTTGGTATTATTACTATTTGCATGTACAATAAACAACAATAAACTGAATTATTATTATTATCCTCTCTGAAAATTTATACTTTTCATTTCTTAATTAAATATTTATATGCTTCGTTTCTCAGTTCTTAATAACACTTAGATTTATTTTAATGAAATTATTATTATTGCTATTATTATCATTTGTTTGTTTACTTTTCTACATTATTGTGTTTTCCCCAGTGCTTGCCTGTAATTTGTCTTTGACTTTACATTGTGTTTGTCTATAATGTAACTATTTTTATCTACACTGTGCTCCCTCTGTAATTGGCCTTGCGGCTGTTGACTCGGCACATAAATAATAAAGAACTGAATTATTATTATTATTATTATTATCAGTAGTAGTAGTAGTAGTAGTAGTAGTAGTAGTAGTAGTAGCAGCAGCAGCAGCAGCAGCAGCAGCAGCAGCAGCAGCAGTAGTAGTGGGGCGAGACTGAGTCCACTTGGTATTGTGCCCACTACTGGCCTATTGTACCAGACCCAGATGATAGATGATTGTGGAGTAACTGGTGGAATGAACATTGGCAGGGGAAACTGAAGTACTCAGGGAAAACCTGCTCCAGCATCACTCTGTCCACCACAGATCCCAAATGACCAGATCCTGGCTCGAACCCAGGCTGCAGCAGTGAGAAGCCAACAACTAACAGCCTGAGCTATGGCACGGCCATAAATATATTGATATAAGCATGAAGTGCAAGAGACTCATTATGTCTTTGATGCATTGTCTCCTTGAGGGAAATACAGATAAAGAGTAACAACATGTCAAAAGTTCTCAACTATTGTAACCGCACCACTGAAATCCTTCCCCCCTCCTTTTTTTATTTCAGCAGCTGATAGAGTAGATACTAAAAATTATGAAGAAACAAAGGTTTAAGACACACTGTCAGAACAAGGAGTAGGCGATGAGCATATACACCAAACTTGCACGGACAAGGACATCTGCTAGTCCTTGTGTCCAAGCATCTGGTGTTATTTTCCAGAAGGGTGAAATGATACTTCAAGAAACCCCACTGAGTTTCTTTAGAAACTGAGAATTTGACTTACAGCGGCAAGCCACTTTGAGAATTCGAGAAGTGACAGTTTCTGCCAGCCGTAAGTCAAAAGTGGGAGTGCCAGGAGATCATTAGCGGCCCCTCATAAGTTGCATCACTGTCAATTTCGCCATTTGGTCTTTTGGGGCGAAATTCCCTTAAAAACAATTGGTCATTGGCCGGAACCAAAATTAAGCCATCTCCTCTTATTTCAATCAGCCTATCCGAGAAATCAGGAGGAGAGGAGAATAGGCAGATACAACTCAGTTAGGACCTCTGGCTCGGCAGAGTCCAGTTTAAGATTTTTAGTCGTCTATCAACTTCAGAACTTGGCAGAGGCAAACCCCGCATCACACGCGCTAAAGAAAAATTCTAAGTACAAAATTTTGCTCATAACGACTCATACAGGAATTTGACTTAATCCATAAGCGGACGGTTGTAAGTCGAGCTTATCGTGTGCAATTTGTGCATGTGCAACACCAGCTGCTTGAAAGCCGAAACTGGATCTGATTGTGGGAATTTGTAGAGCCGAGTGCCTATACGAAGAGCAATAAAGTGTTGTAGGAGTACAGTGAATTGTGTTGGTTAGAGGTGCTTCACCCTCACTTGTCCGAGCCTGACCCGTAGCCGACCTGAGGAGAGACTCATCTCCACTAGCTAGTCAAACCCATCACCAGCTTTCACCTACTCATACCTTTTCCCCTTTACAATGAATCGCAAACAGTTTCTAGCTGTTTGCTGGCGCCCATACCATCAGGTCCCATCCTGAAATTCAAACCCCCTGTAATTTCAACAGAAGGATGAAGCGGTGGAGCCTGGTCAAGCCGAAACCAGCCACGGTCTAGCAACTTCAGCAGCAGCAGCAACATCAGGTAGGGCGATTAAAGGTGACACCAAACGTGTAGGCGAACATGACGGCAGTTAAACTATGTCCTCCGGACTGACCACCAGCGAGCTGATGGTCTGATTGTAACACTAGAGTTCCTGATATATGCCACACCAGATATATTTCGAGTTCTATTATGCTGAGCACTAAGCAACAGCAGAACATTCAATCACCCATAGATAGTAGATACATTTTAAGGATACAACAGTATTAGTGAACTTGCTCCATTACACCTGAAGAGTGATGCAGGCAGCCATATAAATTAGTTCACATCAGAACTTCAATAGAGAAGAGGCTACCTGTTCAGCTATGTCTAGATGATCCACATACAAAAGCTGCAGAGAGGATACTACCATACTCATCCCAAAAATCCCATGCCAGAGTAAGAACAGATGGCATTACTGCTTAAAGGGAACTTGCCTCCTCCCACACCAAGTGACAACCACCCCTTCCTGCCCATCTCCCTCCTACAATATATTACTCCAGTCTCCTCTTCCTTCCCATTCCTGACGCATCCTCTCCTAAACCAATGGCATTCTCTTCAATGCCCTCCAGCCACCTAACCCACAACACAGACATTAAGCAACAATGTGCCTGGTGAGCACTTGGTTGGTGGCTGCTCACGAACACCAGTTGTAAACGAATATTTTGATCCACTCAGTGACCTAAAAATGGACATTTTGTAAAATCCCCTATCCACTGCCTCATCTCTTTTGGACCCATCTCCCTCCTATGACATGCCATTCCCGTCATAACCTGCCTTCACAATCAACTACCTCTTCACCACTTTCGACACCACTAGAAGTGGTCAAGCAACATTATGGTTGGTCACTGTTGCCCAGCAACAGCAACTGGCAATGGTATTTTAGAGTTTAGGGCCCTGTCCACTGTTCCTACTGGCCTGGACTCAAAACCAACCAACAGGCCTACTGGACCAAAAACCGAGATATATAATACATACACACAAACACTAACCCACCCAATGATACCCCCGTGTGGAGGCAGGGCCAAATATCTCCACCATGACCATGGGAGTTGTAGGAGGTGACAAAAAGGGTAGTCTCAAATCTAAGACAGTAAAGTATTGTCGTGAGTCCCGAGGGACTTTGACCTGAGAGAGACTGCGCATATGCAAAAGACAGACCCATCCTCTCACCAGAGAGGGCGCCCCACAAAAATAAGACCGTAACTGTCAAACGGTAATAATTAATATCTGGTCATGAGCCCCAGATGGGGCTCGACACCAAGACTTACTGACTGGCTGTCAGTTGCAATGTGACTTTGACTAACCCACCCTACTCAAATGAGCCTTAATGACGGAGGCACATGTATCACTGCAGCATCGGCAACACTGCCCACATTCATATGGTATTAATTCTTGTTATTTCATAAATATTTACTTGTATAATGGCTGAATATAGTTAAAATTAATAACATTATAAAAAACAAACTATGCCCATTCAGGTTAACCTGAACTGACATAATGTGCCACTGAATTCAGATTTATGAAATAACTATCACTGCGCATTGAAATACAAACCAAAACATGTTTTGGATTGACCAGTAAAGCGGACAATGTTGTTGTGGGTCAATGTTCTTATGAGAAGCGGCACACCAATTCTTAACATAAAATATGACAAAAATAAAGCACACTTACCTCAATATTTTTAACTTTAAGTGCATGATCAATGTCTGCAGTAGACAACTTAAGTCTTTTAGCATGATGCATAAACTTTGCTGCATCCTTAAAGAAAATAAAGACATTACAATCAATAACAACATAGTTTCTCAAACTGTAGGCTACAATTTCATGGTGAGCCAGACGTTTTCAAGAATTAAAATACAGGCGTATCCACTAACAGTTTTGGGATGTCAGCGATTTAAAATTTGTGTCTGTGGAAAATGTACTTATTGCTGGAAAAACATTTTTTTTTTTTTCCCCCCACTGAGTGTATACAGGTAAATTTTATGGCTGACTGAGATGGCAAAGCAATTTAGTTTCTTGTTGTCACTCTAATCACAGAGCCCTGAATAAAATTATATACTTCAAATGGTTATGGTATCATAAAATCTGAAAATTCCTGAATTATAACACTTTCGCCATAACAATTACTGTACCCGGCAATGACACACAAGGTACAGTGTCATTGTAACCCTAAGCTTGCTGTACACATTTAAGTTTCTAACATCCTAATAGAATTTAATATTAGACAATTTGGGGCACAAAAGCGGCATTTCCACAAACAAAATGCACGCAAACTTATGCTAAATTTAACACGGTAAAAAATTACACACATTTTGTATCCCGATTACACAAATGTTGAAAACTTGTCCAAGTTTATAGTGACCATTTCCTCACATGCTTAACGAAGTACACACAACATGAGTCTATGAGATACAAAAGGCTGTGGGTCCGCCCTCAATTCTGTAATAAACACGATGAAAGACTTCAATCCTGTCATTCTCAGGAGACTGGCGGAGGATTTGCTGGAAACTAACCTGCACAATTTGCTTCAGTCTATACGAAACGTCATCAGCCAACTGTTTAGCGGCTTCATCTGGAAGATTTCCTATACCTACACTCTCTGCTATAACTTTAACTGATTCCAGGGACAATGATGTCCCATATACCATATCAGCTTCACTCATACTTAACCCTACATCCTTACATCAGTATTAACAACTAAAACGTTAAACCTATCATCAGGCTCATCATTGCGCTTACACACAACACCAGACAATGATCAGCGCGTCCAAGATTGATCACGTGGTCTGTGATGTAACATCCATATCCATAGCCAACGTTTCACACGGAAATAGCACTATAATTTTACATTATGGTGTGGAGCTCACTTTACGTAACAAATCTATTTTCAACATCGAAGCTTATTAAGCAGTATTATATTTGCAATGACAGACACAGAGATAATTTTCAAACTATCATAGATGTGCTACTTCCTTTCCGTCGAAAATATTGGCTATTCTGAAAGGTCGGTGAAAAGCCTATGTAGCATTCGACTGCCATCTATGGAGCAAAATAAACACTAGTAGCTGGTACCTGGGATGCGGAGAAGGGAGCCATGCACTTGCGCCTTCTTCATTGATGTCTGCTGCCATCTATGAGCACACTGGTCGCTCACCTGTACCAACCACAACACATAAATCGTATTTCTCTGAACCAATCACAGAGCTCTTTGAGAAAATCGGTGTCTTTAGGTGCTTAAGGTTGTCGTCTGTGAATGAGGTGCTTCGAAATCTTCGAAATGTTCGAAATAATTACAGGCACTTGACAAGTTACTGCTTACTCTGCTGGAGATTAAGTTTTTATTTTGATTCTATAACCTTGTAAAACGGGAAATATTTGCGCACGAAATTACATCTCCATGCCAAGTGTTATTTGTACATATGAGGTATATTTAGAAAGTAAACGTTAATTTTGGGCAACTGCGGAAAGAGCCGGGAAAGCTGCAGCATGCGAGGTAGCATCACATGACTCATTTCCTTCTAAACCATTACATAACTAGGCACTTAGTTTTTGGCCTTGTCTCTACAGAGTGAATTATGCTGGGTCTTGCGATTTATAATCTCCAAAGCTGTGAAATTCACATTGTTATCCGCTTTCCGTACGCTAAAAAAATATTGTTGAAATCCATTGCCAATTGTCCGCGTTTCACGGCCAACATGTAATGAGTGAAGGCATAAGACAATGGCATAAGTAGGGCGAACAAAGGTTCACGATGAAGAGCCTAGCGGTCGGCGATCTGCAGTGGGTGATGCTCTAGTTCAAAGTGAAAGGCGGCACTTCGCAGTTTCGGAACTTTCGAATGAATTTCGACAAATTTCATATATTGTTCTCTATGATAGTATTAAAGTTAGGTAACACTGTCACAAGTTTAGCGCAAAGTGGGTTTCGAATATGCTCACGGATGGGCATGAAACGCACAGAATGGCTTCAGCTTTGACTTCTTTAGAGGGCTGCCACATAGATTGTATTGTATTGTATTGTATTTATTAAACGTTCCAGCACATCCATACAAGGATGGCAACGAATTTCTCAATCGAATTGTATGAGTAACAAGTAGCGAAACTTGACTTTCAGTTGTGAATGCTGAAACCAAGGGGCAGACAAAGCAGTGGATGACACACCTTCACCAAACAAGCTGAAAAAATTTAGACTGACATCTAACAGAAAGCTAAGAACAGCTGCTTCCTGGGACAGGAAAGGAGTGCTGATCGTGCTGATGGTGGAGTGCATGCTACAGGGGACCACAAAAATGTCAGGTTTTGCTAAACACTAAAAGAACTACGTAGGACCAGCCATTCAGAACAAAAGGCGTAGAATGCTGATATAAAATGTACTCCTAGTGCTCCCTTATGACAATGCGTGTCTGCATACAGCTGCTCGTACCCAAACACTACTGGAGTATTTCAACTGGGAGTTTGCAGATCACCCTCCTTACAGCCCTGAACACACTCCGAGAGATCTGTTTACCTACCTGAAGAACTGGTTGAGATCACACCGCTTCAACATTAATGAGGGGTTGATGGAAGGCGGCAGACTTCTTTGACAAAGCCATAGGAAAGCTTATTCCCCGATACAAGTGCCTCAGTTCCAGCAGAGACTATGTTGAGTAGATTAAATATGTACGTATTCTTTGTGTAATCATTAGAGTTTACTTTTCAAAAAGCCTTCATATAAATCTCACGTCTATTACTAACTAAACTTGATTGAGCTCAGCATTAATTGAGAAGTCGCCATGTGTGCAGTTAATTTCCCAACATTTTAAGGAACCCAGAGGTTCATTACCCTGTTCAAAGCAGCCCTTCACTGGTTGCTACCCTGAACCAAATCAGCCCAGTCCATACCACCGCACCCTATCTCTCTAAGCAATATTTATGATCACTCCACCCCCTTACGTGTGGTCTTATTCGTGGCCTTTTTACTTTTTGCTTTACCACCAATATCCTGTATGTATTCGTTATCACCATTCATGCTATAGGCCCTGCTCATCTTACTCTCCTTGATTTGACGATTCTAATTACATGTGTATAAGAGTACAAAGTTACAAAAATCCTCATTGTGCAGTTTTCTCCAACCTCCTGTCACTTCATCCCACTTCAGTCCAAATATTCTTGGCGCCGTGTTTTCCAGCACCCTCAGTCTATGTTCCTCTCTTAATGTCAGACCAAGTTTCACACCCAAGCAGAAGCAGCATTGAAAAGCAGTGGCAATAAAGTATGTCCTTGTTTTAGACCATTTTGAATTGGAAAATTATCAGACAAATGTTTACCTATCCAAATATATGTTTCATTTAAACACATTTCAGTCACTGTAAATAGTTTCATGGGTACTCCAAACTCTATGAAAATATTGTGTACAATACTTCCCTCCAAACTGAAGCATACGAGGCTTTCTTGAACTCTGAATAGCTGGTGTAGTGTTTCATTGTACTCCAGTTTTTTCTCCAGTATGTGATGAATGCAAAATGTCTGATCAGTAGTTAATCATTATGTTGAAACCCACACTGATAATTCCCAATAATTTCATCAGTATATATGAACTTAACCTTGAGGGAAGGATATTGGATAAAATTTTGTGTGAAGTTGATAGCAGTGATATCCTACGACAATTACTACGGTAACTTTTATCATCATTCTTTTGAACTGGTAAAATAGTAGACTCCTTCCACTGATCAGGGAATTCTTCCATACTCCAAACAGAATGAATCAGTTTATGGATCTCACACTGCAATGTTTCAATTTCTGCTTCAATCAGTTCTGCCAGAATTTGATCACTACCTAGGGTTTTTTTCTTTTCAACTTTGGAATAACAATTTCAACCTCAAAAGGACTAAGGGCTCATCTGTATGTATTTATATCAGCCTAACATCACTGACCCTATGTATTTCAGTAGCTCAGAGTAGTAGTTCCTCCTCCTATTCTAAATGTTGGAATCTGTAAGCTGATCATCATTCTCACTCTTCACTAAGTTGGTCTATGTTGGTGACCCCTCTTAAATTCATTTATTCCTCTGTTCAGGTCTCTTATGTTCTTGTTCATATGAGTACTATTGGTTGCAAGCTTGTTGGCTAAAGTATCCCCATTTTTTTGACTTGGATCATGTAACCAGTGAGTTTGGCTTGTTTCCTTTGTCAAATGGTTTTGAGCATTCTTCGTTGAACCACATCTTATGCTTCTTCAGTTTATAATAACCTGGACTCTCTTTGGCTGAAATTGTTATATTCTCTCTAATAGCTTCCCAAGCTCTATCAATATCCACCTCAGCATCTAAGTTTCCCAAAAGCTGCAAACCTATTTGAGATTTCTACCCATTATTGCTCCTTACCCTCTACCTCGTCTAATTACTTGAGATTGAACCTGTCCATATGATGATTGTGCACAGTTTATTTACTCAGTGGCAGTCTCTCCCTAACTTCTTCAACCAGCAGATAGTGGTCAGTATAACAATCTGCTCCACTGAAAGATTGGACATAAAGTACACTTGAATGCCATCTCCTTTCTATGAAAATATGGTCAGAGTGATTGCAAGTGTTTCCAACAGGAGATGTCCTAATAAATTTATGAATATTATGATGTGGGATCATTGTACTTTTGACAGTCAGACTTTTGATGTGGCATATTTAACCACTTTGACTCCATTATCATTAATATTTTCATCTATAAACTCTCATTCTTAAATGTTCGTTTGAAAATCTCTTCCCTCCCTAATTTGGCATTGAAATCCCATAACAAAATTTTCATGTGATATTTATGGAATACACATTGTACTTGTAGTTCCTTGTAGAACCTGTCCATACAATCAATTTTATTCTCTGTTGAGGCATGAACATTCAGAGCAAGAATATCATCCCAGCATCCCCTTAGTACTATGTATGATATCCTATGCTAACAAACTCTACCCCCTTAACTGCTGATATCATTCTCTTATGCACAAAGAAAAAAGCCTGTATGTTATTTATTATTCTCATTTCCCTTTCCATAGAAAAATGCACATTCACCTGCTGGTTCGGTGCCACCTCTGTCCCATCTGACCTCCTGTACTCCCACTAAATCTAACTTATATTTTGATATTTATTTCACACTGTCATGAGCAAACCTGCCCTTTACAGATCTCTTTCATTCCACATACCAGATATCATGTCCATTCGCCTTAATTTAGGTAATTTATCTAAAGAATCCGTTCAGCAATGAGGTTTCTTGTGATCTTTCGTAACACGTTTATTTTGTATGGTAAGAAGTTGTTGGACTCACGCCCAACCCCCAAGCTTGAGGACTAACCATAGTAGGCTGTCCACAACTGCTTTTTCCATATATTCGCAGCTACCTTCCAAATCTGTAGGTTGGGCCCTCCATCTGCGACCTAAGGATGCACCATGCTACGGTGACAAGGGACCCACCTAACATGGTTATCCCTACTACACAGGAAGAAATTAGAATTGTATATAATTCTGTCAAGTAAAAAATTCATGCACTTATGATGAAATCTCATTAAAATTATTTAAGTCTTGTGTAGGATAAGTAAGTAAGTCATTAAGTTTTACTGGTCATAATTACATGGAAGTAGGTCCTTGTATTTGTATTATGACATGTTTAGCATCTAGTTTAGCCCAAAGAAAGATATATGGAATGTCAAGAAAATTGAAATGTACTATGACTGTTACAATTTTTGCATTGTTCTTTTCAGTATAACATGGCTTGCAGAAAGGTGTCCTCTGTCTGTCTAGGGGAGCTGTTCTATCCATAAGCAGAAGGAATTA